AAAAAAACTTCCTACAGGGAGGGAAAAAAAAAAACATGTGGGGTGTGCTAAACATCGTGGTCTAGGCAGTGAGCATCGAAGTGCATCACGGCACGCCTTCCTGCGTCTGGACAGATACTGCAACACGGGAGACATCGCTGCAGCTGAGCTGTGACGTAACAGGGTACGGTCTCCTCTGGAACGGTGAAGCAGACATCGTAGGAGTCGCTGCAGGTTTTCACTCAACCTGGGGCACGACATGCTGGTGCCCTCGAGTGAGGCACGACAAAACACGGCAATGGGAGGACTTCTGGCAAGCGACTCAGGACACTTCTCGACTGTACTGTCGCTGGGCTGTCACTGCCGGCGACGTTGGAGCGAGTTGTGGAGCGAGTCGGGGCAGAGACGACTGGGCGAAACATTCTGGGAGTCGTAACATATACACCAGACTGCAGTGAGAGAGCTAGCAGTCAAAGTGACATCTTCTTTGTGCAGGCTGCTCATGAAGCTTGTGACACGAGGCTGACACAGCGCCTCCCGACAGGGCTGGCTGCGGCTTGACGAGTATCATCTTCCCCGACAGCTAGAGTTATAGCAGAGGTTAGTTAAGCGTCCCCAGACTTGTTTCTCTAAATATAACTGCACTCTGACGGTCTGGAGGTGAAGTAAAACAAATCTCGAGGGAATCGTAGCAGGTACGATTCTGCAGAACAACACGAGCGACGAGCATAAAAGCTTTCTGTACAAGGGGGTCTACGCTCAGGGCTGAGAAATCAGCTGTCAAACACTGGTCAGGCGGGTGACTTAGTGGTGCAACTAAAGGGTCTGACACAGACCTCATGGACACACGGAAAACTTAAAAAACACACCGCTGTACATACGGTACAACATGGCTTAACTAGAAATGATGCTTTTTGCGCATAAAACTGACTAAGACATACTAAAATGTGAGAACACGGGACTGAGGGGAAATTAAATTTTAACACACGACATATATCTTCTCTCAATGTTCTCGACAATCCTGAAATAATTACTAGAACACCGATGTGACATCATGTGATGTCAGGCGTGATGTCGAAAGGTGATGTCAGCAGCAGTGACGTCAACAGACATCTCGAGGTGACGTCAGGCAGACATGGAGGTGACGTCAACGACATCGTGACTTTGACGTCAGCAGACATCGTGAGGTGACGTCAGCAGACATCGTGACGGTGACGTCAGCAGACATCGTGAGGTGACGTCGCAGACTTCTCGAGGGTGACGTCAGGAGACATCGTGAGGGTGACGTCAGGCAGACATCTCGAGGTGACGTCAGGCAGACATCGTGACGTCTTGAAGTCGGGCAGCATTGTGGGTGACGTCAGCAGACTTTCTCGAGGTGACGTCGCAGACATGTGAGGTGACGTCAACAGACATCGTGACGTCATGAAGTCGGGCAGCTTCGTGGGTGACGTCAGCAGACATCTCGAGGTGACGTCAGGCAGAAATTGAGGTGACGTCAAGAGACATCGTGACGTCATGAAGTGGGGCCCAGCATCGTGGGTGGCGTCGATGTGATGGGGGGGCAGCAGACCACAGCATGAGGCCTGGGACATCTGGTAACTCACGTGGCTTTGTAGGTCTACGTGACATCGCCCCACCCACGTGACGTCGTAAATCCACTAGCTTCGAGTGGCTCGGGCACTGGATACACAGCATGCAATTGAATTCATACGAAAAAAAAGCAGAAAACACAGCAGAGGGAAGGGGGCAAGTGGTGAGTGTATGGTAGTGTGGTGGCGAGGAAACGTGCGTTTTGGGGTATGGCCCGGCGGGCATCTGGCCATTCCCCCTCCTCCTCCCCCCACAAACACGTGGGAGAAGCTCACACTGGACGCAGAAATCACCACAAAAAATCACCTCTGGCTTGCTGAAACGGCTGTGCTGAGTGAAAAACAACAGCAACATACAAGTGACGCTGAACACGTGACTTGAGAAACAGCATGGGACACTGTAGCGGGGAGTCACTGGGACGCCACTTACAATTCTCGGAGAATTTCGGCAAATTTCGGCTGGATCCTGCTAGTACCTGTGTCTGGATGCTCAAACGTGCAGACACGACATCAGGTAACTCGTTGAGAGACGGATGCTTCTTGTGTAGGGTGATGAAGTGAAGATGACTTCATACCTCTTCCTCCTTCTCTCCAGGCAAACACAACTGCTGCAAGCACCGCTGTCACCATTTATAACGGGGTTGTTTGGTAGCTGTAGAGCGGGTAGTTAAATGATATACGTCTTCAGAGGCTTCTTACTTTATTGATAAGTAGTGGTGGGTTACACAGGCTTGTGTGTTTGTGCCCATGGCCCGGGCAGGGCCATGCCCACGAGAGAGAGCTGGCAGTACTTGTGTCTTGATGCCAGGCCGCTGTGTGAGTGAGGGTGAGGCAAGTCTGGGCATACTGAAGTGGCAAGGCCTATAGATGGCAGCACCTTAGTGGCGCGAAATATGAACTAAGCTGGCAGACAGCATGGGCTGTCTGTGCAGACAGTACAGGCTGTCTACATACCACCATCACAACCACTACCACCCTCTACCACCATCACAACCACTACCACCCTCTACCACCATCACAACCACCCTCTACCACCATCACAACCACTACCACCCTCTACCACCATCACAACCACTACCACCCTCTACCACCATCACAACCACCCTCTACCACCATCACAACCACTAACACTCATATTTTTCAACAATCTTTTTCTTTAATTCTGTCGTGTTTGTCGCCTTTTTTACTGAAGGGCTGACACTAGCTTTCTTTGGGCTCATGGTGGCTTATTTAGCAGTTGCAAACACTAAAATGAATGGAATATTACGAAGTTCGTAGAAGAATGGTTCAGAGAACTGACAAGGTAATAAATTAGATACATGTGCAACACTTGGGCATCTTTATTGAGGAAATGTTTTGCCACACAGTGGCTTCATCAGTCCATATAAAGGAGAATGGTGAAGAACAGGAGGAGCTTGAGGTAATCAGTCCCCCAGCCTTGAGTTGATGTGATCAGTTCATCAAACTTGAAAAGAATGTGGCATATGTGCGAAGAAGTGGCTTATATACTATAGGCAGGAGGGGTGCAGCAGTCATAGGTGGTACCACATTTGTCCAATGTGGAAGTAGGTCGTGCCCAGCGTTAGGCAAGTGAAGAATTTCCTGTATTAAGATCCTAAGATGTTGCTGTATCAGACAGGAACGTAGATGAATGACTCAGAGAACTGACAAGTTGATTACCTCAAACTCCTTTTGTTCTTCACCATTCTCCTTTGTATGGACTGATGAAGCCACTGTGTGGCGAAACATTTCCTCAAAGATGCCTAAGTGTTCCACATGTGTCTAATTTATCATTATGAAATGTATCGTATGAATGCATGGGATCGTGCTCACTCGCTGATAAACAATGGGACACTGACTGTGGCCGCATTGGGGCCACTCATACACGTATGGGGTGAACGACTATTTGCGAGTCAAACAACGATTCACGAGTCAATATTTTGACGAAAAAACATTACGATTTGTGAAAATTACGACTTCTGATGCTTACAAAAAAACGAGGGTTCACTGTACTCACTTTCAACTTTCTTCTTTTACACGTTCACCAAAAATGCACTAAATTCTGCAACTTTTCTTCTGAAAAAGTACTGAGTCATCAGCAAAATGCAACAGTGACTACTCCCTTTTTATATCAGATTCAAAAAACTTTTAGCTTGTACCTCTCCAACACATATGCATTGATATTTTAACAAAGTTTACTCCACCAAGTAAATTTTAAAGTTTGCACCAAACTCAATAACCTAAAATTAGCATACTATAGCTTAATCCTACAAAATCAATCTAAGGCTAGTCTAAATTTAGGTATTTAATGCCTTGAAATATATTAATTTTGGGAGCAAGGGTCTAGTAACCCCTTCTCCTGTATACATTACTAAATTTAAAAAGAGAAACTTCGTTTTTCTTTTTAGGTCACCCTGCCTTGGTGGGATATGACAGGGTTGTTGAAAAAAAATATTAATTTTGTGATGTTCAAACATTTATTATAGAATTACTGCAACAAAATTATACTCTGTTTGCCAAATAAGCTAGTTCTGCTTTTAAACTAAAATATACATATCTTAGGCACATTTTTTTAATCCCCTGAGTTGCCCATATGTAGAATTATTCATTCTAGTGGCTTCAAATTTTGCACAAGAGGCCTGGTAGACCTACATAAGAGATAACAGGTCTGCCTGGTCAGAGTGCACAACATACAAAAAATCTGAGCCCTTGCAGTGCATTGTGTGAAAGTCATATTTAGTACACCTTGTTCACCATGCTCCATGGACACAAAGGCCTCACTTGCAGGCAAACGGAACAAGTTTCATTCCCTAGCGACAGCAACAATGAGGATTATGGAACTGACAATGAGTTCTTTGGTTTCAAACGTATAATGACAAAGTTATGCTCACGACACCAGAAATATTGCTGTGAGATAATAAGGAATATCCTTTTGTTTGAAGTTTGGTTACCACTTCCTGTTACAAAAAAGAAGAAATATTATGTCGGTGCACACACAACAAGGTGCCCAGCAGAGAAGAGAGACATGCTTTGTGTGTAAAAAGTGTACAACACTGTTGTATATGGAGCTTTGTTTCAAGGACTTTCAAAGACTTCAACAGTTCTAGGAGTGCCGTGACCAGTGTCTGTATATATGTACAGAAATGTTAAAACAGCAGTAATGTGAAACATTTGTACTTTTATACATTTATGTTGTGTATACATCTTTTGGAAACAATGTACCAATGACACTATTAGTGTGAGTATTGTCTTGCATAGAATAGATGGATATATGTACAGTGCATGATAAGGGTCTTGTGGGCCACAAAAGTTATTTTAAATGAAATTGTTGTACCCCAGCAGATAGGAATTAGGCTACAACTAGGGCTCTTATATAACTGCCATTCCAAACAATCTGATATACAGTACAAGATAATAATAGCACATTACCCTTTTCTGGTACATAAACAGCAGTTGCAGCAAAGAAATTCTTAGCATCAACCTCAGGACTGTGTGGAAAAAGGGCCACCACACAAGTAAACGGAGGAGTGCTTATTGGAGGATCAACTGGGAGGCATCTGGAGGATGTACTTCCCTCAGCTTCCAAGATAACCATCGCCATCTCTGAATCTCCTTGGTGACCATTCACCAAAGCCACTGGAGTACCAAATACAATGATCTGAAATATAATGCCTACCTGTAGTTCCATTTCTTCTCCTCCCTATTTAATCATGTACATACAGTGGAACCTCGGTTTTTGTATGCCCTAGTTTGTATGCAAAACTATTGTTATTTTCTATAAAATGTATTTTTTGTTAGTATTTTTGGGTGTCCTCTGGGTTTGCTTCTATTTTCTTTCTAGTTCTTGTTCTTGTTTATTTCCTCTTACCTCCATAGGGAAGTGGAACAGAATTCTTCCTCCGTAAGCCATGCATGTTGTAAGAGGTGACTAAAATGCAGGGAGCAAGGGGCTAGTAACCTCTTCTCCTGTTTATATTACTAAATGTAAAAGGAGAAACTTTCGTTTTTCCTTTTGGGCCACCCCGCCTCAGTGGGATACGGCTGGTGTGTTGAAAGAAAGATTTTTGGGTGTCTGCAATGGATTAATTGAATTTACATTATTTCTTATGGGAAATATTGCTTCAGTTTTCACACGATTCAGTTTATCGTCAGACTTTTTTGTACGGATTAATCACGAAAACCGAGGTTCCACTGTATATGCATTTTCATTGCTAAACGAAGTTTGCTACTAATTAAGCCAACAGAACTAATTTCGATCTTAGGAGCAATGATTACTAAGAAGACATGAAAATCTTTTTTTTTTTTTTTTTTTTTTTTTTAGCAAAGTATTAAATCAGTTGTGGGAAAAGATCAACAGGAACATGTGTACAGTACATCATTTTTAAGGTTATGAAGGGATGTGTTTATAAATAAGCACTCATTGTTTAACCATTTATACAAATAAACATAGACTAAAAGCAAGAGACTGGAAGAAAAAAAAAAAAAAAAAAAAAAAAAAAAAAAAAAAAAAAAAAAAAAAAAAAAAAAAAAAACAGAAGAAACTCAGCAGCAGAGAGCAGGGAAGCAAGTCAAAGTCAAATACCGAAACTACTCCACAGCTATAGCTACGCCAAAAGAAAAAATTATATTAAAGGGGCAGTGATAACATCAAGAAGTGGAATGCTGGCAGGAATGAAGTAATGTACAACTGGCTGAACATAAGATTCCAGAGTAAATTTACAAATGAGCAAAGACCAGTACCAGAGATATGAGGGAGAACTAACCAAGGGGAACAATAAGGAAGTGAAATGACTACTGAAGAGATTCCTGATGGAACCTGCATCGAAGGTATCAGGGCCAAATGGAATATGAACACAAATATGAACAGCTTAAATAATATGGCATTATATAAACTACAAATCACTTATGATGAGTGAAGTACTAGACAAATAAAACATGGCATGCAAGATACTAATATTATAAATAGGCAATGAACAATTAGTTACAAATCAATATCCCTAAGTAAGTGTGACACGCAATTTTAAATTCCTGGCGAAGATTGTATGAAAACAATGCCGAGCGTCTAGAAAACATTAAATTCTTTGAGGAGCAAAGAATCTAGTGTTTCAGAAATGGGAGGTCATGCATATACACTGTTGAAAAGAGTATTTATGTATCTACGAGGTTCTCGCATAAAAGTTGTGCCTCATTTATTTCCTCTTGGGAAGCACTGAGTCTTGAATTAGAAACTCACCTTGTCAATTGGTAAAATGTTGACCTCTGTTGTTGTGCTAAATGCTGAATTTACTTCGTAGGACACCACAGAGCGTCCAATCTTATGTGTAGCAGCTACCCCAGAAACAGTGTCTAGTGAGAGAATATCTCCACTTGCTGACCAAGTTCCTGGTGAGCCATTCACTCCCTGAACATGTGAAGACATGCAAATATGGCTACCAAGAGGTACGACTATCTGAAATGAACAAAGTAAATTTTAGATGTAATAATTTTCATAACTGATACAGTATGGCTATTACACTTTAACTACTTTTAACAGCATCAATTTTCGATTATATTCATTTATTTAAAATTTTGCTAATTAATCAGGCAAAATAGTACTTTCCATTCCAAGATTGTATTTGTATCAAGAATTATTAACTTTTCAATCTCTCTAACAAGGTAGTGACCAGCTCAAGTTTTAACAAAGCATTATATTCCATCACTCAATTACATAATCCCCTTTCTTGATCATATAAATACAAATGCACCATCAGACAGAACTAATATTTTACTTATGAAGGTATACAATGGCAATCAACAGACCTTTCAGTCCAAACAGGACTACTGTTTATGGAGGGTCTTAAAGAGAAAATAAATTGCAACTTAACAGAAAGGTATTTATACAGCTGTTGGTAACACTCTTTGCCATCTTGTTGCCAAAGCAGTAGTAAGAAACATTATCCTAGAAGCTGCCAGTTTACTCGAGCCACCCCAACTGGGCTTTGGGGTCTCTCAAGGCAGTGAAGCCGCAGCTCATGCGGCAAGGGCCGACATCAGGGACCTACCAGAAGACTAGGCCATAGTCAAGCTTGATTTTAGAGATGCGTTTAATAGGGTGAAGAGATGTTGTCTTGTCTGCCATTCAGGATCAGTTCCCCAGTCTTTTTTCCTTAATTTCAGCTGGCTACAGTAAGCCCTCAATTCTTTTGTTTGGAGAACATGAAATCCTCTCATCAGAGGGTGTTCAGCAAGGTGACCCACTCACTCCACTTCTCTTCTGCTTGGCAATAAGAGAACTAACTTCCAGCCTATGCAGCGAGCTCAACATCTGGTGCCTGGATGATGGCACTCTGGCAGGTACTGAAGAGTCCCTTTTAGAGGACCTACAACTGGTGAAAACACAAGGATAAGACTTGGGACTCATCCTCAATCCCTCCAAGCGTGAAATCATCACAGCGAACCAGGAAATAATCAATGCCGTGCGAAGAAGCCTCCCAGAAGTCTACTACGACTCTGTCCAACAGTACCTTCTTGGGAGCACTGCTGAGTCCCCAGGCCATCGACACTGTCCTCAAGGAGAAACTGTAAAGTAAAAGGACACAAGTGCAACTAATGTGACATTTATTGTGGCAATGTTTCGCTCTCCAAGAGCTTTATCAAGCCATTACAAATAATACATGGACACAGAGGGTATATAAAGGCTCAGAGTGAGGTGTAATACTAGTGAGGTACCATTTCGATGTTCACTAGTGGTAGTAGTAGTAGTGGTAGTGACAAAAGTAATACAATATGGTAGAACAATTAATTTGTACATGAGTAAAAGGATATAAAAGCTATTACTTGGGTAACATAAAAATAGGTTGGACAAATATAGACTGGAATGAGGCAGCTTGTTTCAGTGTTCACTCTCTGTGCTTTGTGTAGTATAACAGGAGAGACTATGTGATGGCAGGGTTTACTGTTTTCAGGAGGATTCTTGCTAAGACTTCGGAGATGGTGAAGCTGCCGTTGTTTTGTTTAATTGTATTCGAAACAGCGATCAGTGCTGATTCGAGGCACTTGCGTCTGCGGAAATTAGTTTCTTTGATCACTAATTGGGCATCTCTGAATTTCATGAGATGATTGGTGGAATTTCGGTGTTGTACACAGGCGTTGTTCAGGTTATCGTTCCTACATGCGTAAATGTGTTCATTGAGGCGGGTGTCGAGGTTTCTGGCTGTTTCACCTACGTAAATCTTGTCACAGCCTCCACAGGGTATAGTGTAAACTCCTGCATTGACTGGTTCGTGGTGCTTGGATTTTGTCCTGGTTATATCTTTTATTGAAGTGCTAGAAGCGATGGCGACTCTGGTGTTAGCTTGTGAAAGTACTTTTGAGACGTTCAGTGCAACCTGACTGTTGGGAAGAATTATAACTTTGCTGGGAGTGGTGTTGATGCGTGGAGAATTTATGATCTGAAGAGCTCTTTTCTTGCAGTCTTTGATGAAAAAAGAAGGAAAATGTAACTCTGTGAATGTTAGACGTGGAGTGTACATACATTCACCAAACATTCACAGAGTTACATTTTCCTTCTTTTTTCATCAAAGACTGCAAGAAAAGAGCTCTTCAGATCATAAATTCTCCACGCATCAACACCACTCCCAGCAAAGTTATAATTCTTCCCAACAGTCAGGTTGCACTGAACGTCTCAAAAGTACTTTCACAAGCTAACACCAGAGTCGCCATCGCTTCTAGCACTTCAATAAAAGATATAACCAGGACAAAATCCAAGCACCACGAACCAGTCAATGCAGGAGTTTACACTATACCCTGTGGAGGCTGTGACAAGATTTACGTAGGTGAAACAGCCAGAAACCTCGACACCCGCCTCAATGAACACATTTACGCATGTAGGAACGATAACCTGAACAACGCCTGTGTACAACACCGAAATTCCACCAATCATCTCATGAAATTCAGAGATGCCCAATTAGTGATCAAAGAAACTAATTTCCGCAGACGCAAGTGCCTCGAATCAGCACTGATCGCTGTTTCGAATACAATTAAACAAAACAACGGCAGCTTCACCATCTCCGAAGTCTTAGCAAGAATCCTCCTGAAAACAGTAAACCCTGCCATCACATAGTCTCTCCTGTTATACTACACAAAGCACAGAGAGTGAACACTGAAACAAGCTGCCTCATTCCAGTCTATATTTGTCCAACCTATTTTTATGTTACCCAAGTAATAGCTTTTATATCCTTTTACTTATGTACGAATTAATTGCTCTACCATATTGTATTACTTTTGTCACTACCACTACTACTACTACCACTAGTGAACATCGAAATGGTACCTCACTAGTATTACACCTCACTCTGAGCCTTTATATACCCTCTGTGTCCATGTATTGTTTGTAATGGCTTGATAAAGCTCCTGGAGAGCGAAACGTTGCCACAATAAATGTCACATTAGTTGCACTTGTGTCCTTTTACTTTACATATTGTCGGTAATTCTACCAACTTTATTACAAGGAGAAACTGAATGACCTGATGAGAATGGAGGAGAGAATAAGCGATCTTGATGCCCATGATGCTCTGTATGTCCTAACAAGGTGTCTTACTATGTCAAAGCTAACTTATTTCTTGAGGTGTGCACCCTCTTTTGACAACCCAACACTTGATGAATATGATGCACACCTGAGATCAACCTATAAGAAGACATTAAGGCGTCATGTGTTTTCGCCCACCGTGTGGCAGGCCAAAGCAGCATGGGTTCGAGTCCTTGGCTAGTGCAGTGTTGTTATTGATCAATATAACTCGTTCTTGGTCACAATAATATAAAATACTGCTCATTGTACTAGTACACCAAACAGGGACTAGAATGAAATTAGCCTCGAGTCATCCACACCATCGTGTGTCCTTGGGTAGCGAGTACAACATCCAGTTCCGCTGGATGCACTACTCTTAAGGATCGTATGGTCTGGTGGATTAGGGCGTCATGTGTTTTCGCCCACCATGAGGCAGGCCAGGGTAGCATGGATTCGAGTCCTTGGTTAGTGCAGTGTTGTTATTGACCAATACCACTCGTTTGTGGTCACAATAATATAAAATACTACTCATTGTACTAGTACACCAAACAGGGACTAGAATGAAATTAGCCTTGTCATCCACACCATTGTTTATCCTTGGGTAGTGAGTACAACATCCAATTCCGCTGGATGTGCTACTTTTAAGGATTGTATAGTCCAGTGGATTAGGGCGTCATGTGTTTTTGCCCACCATGAGGCAGGCCAAAGCAGCATGGGTTTGAGTTCTAGTGCAGTGTTATCTTTTTTTTTTTCAACAAACCGGCCATATCCCACCAAGGCAGGGGGGCCCAAAAAGAAAAACGAAAGGTTTTGTTTTTAAATTTAGTAATTTGTACAGGAGAAGGGGTTACTAGCCCCTTGCTCCCAGCATTTTAGTCGCCTCTTACAACACACATTGCTTATGGAGGAAGAATTCTGTTCCACTTCCCCATGGAGATAAGAGGGAATAAACAAGAACAAGAGCTAGAAAGAAAATAGCAGAAAACCTAGAGAGGTGTGTGTATATATATACTTGTATATGTATGTGTAGTGTGACCTAAGTGTAAGTAGAAGTAGCAAGACGTACCTGAAATCTTGCATGTTTATGAGACAGGTAAAAAAAAGGACACCAGCAACCCTACCATCACGTAAAACAATTACACGCTTTCGTTTTACACTCGCCTGGCAGGACAGTAGTACCTCCCTGGGCGGTTGCTTTCTACCAACCTACTACCTATAATATATATATCTTCTTCTTTCAATGTACCAGCCGTATCCCACCGAGGTGGGGTGGCCCAAAAGGAAAAACAAAGTTTCTCCTTTCAAATTTAGTAATATATACAGGAGAAGGGGTTATTAGCCCCTTGCTCCCGGCATTTTAGCCACCTCTTACAACACGCATGGCTTACTGAGGAAGAATTCTGTTCTACTTCCCCCATGGACTAAGTCGAGTGGACATACGTCCACTCAACTTACGACCGTGCATCTGGCAGCTGGGCTGGGCCAGCTGATGCACACAGCTGTACAATATGTGACAATACTCGCAGTGGCAAATGCGTCATGCAGGCAGCATCAGTTTGAGTAACCCTATCAGCATCATCATACTGTATGAACTGTACTAACTGGACAGTAAATTTCACCATGGCCCCTAAGATGAAGTCTGAATCTTGCACTGGAGATTGTGGCAAGAAAGGCTCTTACTCTCAAACTCTATTTGTTTTCAATGTTGCACATAAACCTGTCTTTATCTGTCTGCCTGTATATCTGTGTCTGTCTGTATCTCTGTGTGTCTGTCTTTATGTCTACCTGTGTCTTTCTGTCTGTCTTTATGTCTACCTGTGTGTCTGTCTTTATGTCTACCTGTGTCTGTCTTTATGCCTACCTGTGTGTCTTTCTGTCTACCTGTGTGTGTGCCTTTCTGTCTA